ATAATAATAATAATAATAATAATAATAATAATAATAATAATAATAATAATAATAATAATAATAATAATAATAATAATAATAATAATAATAAATCAGTGATTAATTAAATATAAATACTTAATGGGCTTAGCAGATACTTAGGACAGCATAACAGGGCTAAAGGAACTCTCTGGGCTTTGGTCAAATGAGACAAGAAACAAGCAACAGAAATTTCATTTATTTCAGTAATAATTTCCAGAAATCATTTAATGCAATAATTGCAAAGAATTTTGAGAATAGAAATAAATGAAACAGAATAGCAAGCAACACTATACTTGACAGATGCACTTTAAACAGTGTACATAATTGTAAATAATATGTCATGCATTAGATATCTATTTGATTGGTATAAAAATAAATATTTTTCTTAAATAAAAATAAGGTGTTGTTTATTAAGAATTATTAATAATATTTTACTACTAACACCGTTTAAATGGTCCAATTGGTTGATCGTTTAATTGAAGTGGGCTAACTGTATTTTTTGAAGTACAAGGGTGTAAAGTGTATTTTACCGAAATATGTCGGTACTTTGAATAATGAAAAAATCGAAGGGCTTTGAAACCAAAATAAAAATTATTATTATAATAAAATTCGTTATAATATATTTTCCTAAATGAAAATTAGTAGTTGAAAACAATTTTTAGACAACATAAGGGGCCACAGAATTATTTTGTAGGTAGCCCCTTTTTTCCAATATAGGAAATGACATTTGAATTATTTGAGCAATTTTATAGGGCTGCAATTATTATTATTTCGTAAAACACGGTCTAAGAGAAACTATATCGGGTGAAAAGCGCCGGGTGATTTTGCATCACATATCTACACAGATAACCACTTACTAGGCAAACGTACACATGGATATGTGTGTTATTGTGTATAGATCACTAGTGCGGAATTACCCGATTTATTTCATCGAATATAGCATCTACATAATCGTAAAACACAGAACACCGCATCCACCCCCAATTAGCCATCTCAAAAAAACTGGTTCACAGGCACTGACAAGTACTTACTTCATAAAATACTTTCATCGAAAGGAAAGAAGTAACCGAGAGAGAATAATCTCCGAAATATCATCATTAAATGATTAACTGAGAAGTGTGGCATACTACAGAGATCAATGATTGAGATACGATTATTGCACGACAAATGTGACGATGAGACGTCGACTTTTTATTGGGTGGTTATATATTAGCCACTATTATCAAGGCATAGTGTTGCTCTTTGCAATTCTATTTCGGTCTTACTGCACATTTTGTCCAACGGGAATACATATTTATCTACACATAATAACACAATTTATGTATTTTGTAAAAATCAATTCATAACAAAAGACCCAATGGGAAATAATAATAAAATAAAATATTTGGAAAAAAATCCGATAGGCCTAGGAAATCACAGGTTTCGACTTTCGAATAATAACTTCTTTCACTGAATGGCGGGAGCATTTACTAATGCAATCTCTAAAAATACTCATACATTGGTTAATTTGGACTCCACATGATATACATATGGCAAATTACGGCCACCCCTTGAGGGGAGGTCAAATTATTAAAAAAAAATCCCCTCATATATGGGTAATTACAACCACCTCTCAACTACGTATTTTCTTACGAAAAATCCCTCATTCAGTATGTAAATTTGACACCGTAAGGGTGGACGTATGAAACAATAATGGGGTTTTTTCGTAATTTCAC